ATGGATCATAGAAGCACCGCCCTCGCGCTCTGTTCATTCAGCGGCTAATCGTTGGCCATGCTTCCACTCCGCGGCTATATATGCCAGCCAATGTACGCGACTCCATTGTAATTGAGCGGAAAGAGAAAAAAAACTGTAAAATACTGCAGTGTTTCCAACAGGTGGCCGAGGCCACGACAGGGACAGGGACAGGAGGCCGGAGAGTAAAAGGTTCAAGCGCCTGTTGCCATTGCTCATGACAACATCGCCTTTTACCCGAATTTTTTTTTCATTCACCTGTTCTCGCCCGGTAAACACAGAGCAGGAAGAGCAGGATCGCTCTCTGGCATGGAAGAACCATCCTCACCCGTGGGAGCAGGTAATCGAACTCAGAAATACGAGCTACTGTATTCTATTTTCTCTGCTGGGTAAAGGTCGAATCCGATGACAGATTGCCGCAAAAGACCAGAGAGATCGTTGTGCTGTAAGGCGGAGCGCAGACCAACGGCGCTTGAATCTTGTGCTACTGTGCATCAGACGATCCAACTCTTGGTGAGTTGCCTGCTGCACGCGCTCCATTGCCTCGAGCTCCAAGGTCAACAGGAGTGCGAAATACATGCATTGCAGTGGCCTCTCGAGGCGTCGTGCATTTTCAAGGTACAGCATGCACCCTTATCTGTTTGGGATAGGAACAAGGAACGGGCAACGTAGGTGGGCAAGGCATGGATGTACAGCAGGAATACCTGCAGATATCGCTACTCCGTATGGCGCGAGGGGGGAAAGCGAGAGCAATTTCGATAGTACAGTAGAGAGTCTAGTGCCACACACGCGTTACAGCAGCGCATGATTAGTGGCGAGAGCCGATGTTGGGCCCAGAGGTGGAGGTGATGCAGCCGCCGCTGGTGCAGTCTGTTCCAAAACCGCAAGGTGCTGTGGTCGGATGTGAACCTTGAAGAGGCTTCAGGGCCAGAATAGGGTCGTGGTCGTGGCCAGCAGGGCGAATGGCTCTCATCCTGTGTCTATTTTCTGGTCTGGTCTTTGGTCCACTCAAGCTTAATTAGTGCAGCACAGTTCTGAGTGGGCAGTGGCGAGATGTTTGTTGTTTCTCTCGTCCCTTCCTCACTTGGTCGTCTTTCTTCTCTCTTCATTCCTCACTCTGCACTCTTCACTCTCTCGTCCTTCTTCACCTTTCACCCTTCACCCTCCACCCTTCGCTCTCTTTCTCTCTGCGCTCCTCTCCTCACGCCCTTCGACGCCGTTTATCCACCCTTAGCCATTCTCCTCCACTCACAACTCACAGGACCATCTCTTCGTTTGTCGTGCCCATATCCTCCCCCCGTCAGTCCGCCTGGCTCCTCTTGCTGCTTCCACTTTAGCGGACATACCGCACCCTCCTCCGGATCCATCCCACCACGCTCCACTCTCTCCTTCATCGTCACTCGAAGCAGCGTTGCTCCATAAGTCCACCCTCACTCTACATCTCGACCTCGTTCAGCTCAAAGGTTAAAGAAGTACAGAGGCTTCAAGCTCAAGCATAGTCTCGCTTCTTCATGTCGAACAACACTGCTGGTCCCACCGACAGCAGGAGCAGTAGCCCCTCCACCGGTCATCAAAGGTAACGCGGACGGGAAACAAGCAACAGCAACGGCAGTGAGAATGCGCTCATTTCAAGGGCGCACAAAAAATAAGCAGAGGCTTGATTATCACGCAGGAACGAAAAGGAGGGGAGAGCCAGATTGGGTCCCGGAGATGCAGGATCGTGCACATCTTTGCCATGCACTCGCGTCCAACCAGCTCATTCGCATTCATTCTTCTGTCTTTCCTCTCATCCTGCCAGCAGTTCAACCGGAGAAGCTACGGCCGCCGAGTCGCCGTACCTTGAATTTATCAACCAGTCCTTCTCCACAGACCAGGATCTATCGCTGCCAGACCGCACCATCGCGAATCCTGTACTGGACAGTGTCAATAGCGAATCGCAAGGACACTCCGTGAAGACGGCGCCCAAGGGGCGTGCCCTCAACAAACTGTTAAAACGTAGTAGCAAAGATACGCTCAGGAGCAACGGCTCGTCGTCACCAATCATTTCGGCACATTCGGCCCCTAGAGCACTGCGAGCAGCGACCTCGAATCCTGCAGCGTCGAACACATCTCTCACGCCCACCAAAGGACACGCCAATGGCTCGATCCAACCCTCAGTCGGGTCGTCGTCTTCGTCCTTGTCCGCATCCGCCACGCCCCCACCACCTCCCAAATCCATACTCAAACAATCCAGATCGCCGGCAAGCAGCAGCGTCCCACTGCCTACAGCCTCGGCCAGTATGCGCTCTTCAACCACCCTTCAGCAACCCCAGGCACATCAGCTACAGGAATATGTACATCCACCTCCTCCAGACAACCTTGCAGCCTTTTCTTACCCACCCCCGCCGCCGTCTACTGGATCTTCTGATGGACAAAGAAATTCCAGCTTCTTCAACTCTACGAATCGCTCATCCGCGACCGGGGGATCCGGCCCGATCTCTAGCGCCTTTGACGTAACGCAGACGGATCTGACGCTGGAGGGGCTAGCCCAGCGGTGGTATGCTTACCAGGCTATGATGAAGAAACGCTATTCAGAGGATCCGTTCTACAGACGCTGGACGAAATCCAAGTGGATCCTGCTCATCACTGCAATAATACTCCTTGGGTACTCTTGTGCAGTATTTGCGGTCTCGCTAGGGTACATGCTCGGAAGTAAGTTGGCGTTGCAGATCGGAGCTACATGGGCGCACGAGCACTGAGACAGAAGACATGAGACTTCACCCCCGCGCGACAACCAAATAGGCGGCTGCGACCTCATGGACTTTGTTTGAGTTATATTCGGAAGACAGAGCATATCTAACTCTAGCACTACTTTGCCGTCCCCTGCCTGTGTTTCTAGAATTTGACCTTGCGCCTGTCGTCATGGAGTTCCACGGCAGCCTTATCATATGTAGGTTGGCACCTTGTCCCATCAGGAGCAGTTCACGTCGTTTTCTCTTTTGGATCCATCATGCCCCTCGATCCATAGAATGACGCCTTCTCATGCAATCCTCTCTTTCTCAATATCACAGTGTCATTGGCAGGCTCCGCCTTTGGGATCGTATGCGCACTCATAGGACTGGTGGGCGTGTTTACAGAGAACAGGGTGTGGCTGTCGTGGTACACCACGCTCTTATGGCCAAGTTTTGCACTTTATGTATCTGTCGGTTACATCGCGTTCCGCCGTGCAAAGGCTCACCTCCGGGATCACATCAAAGAAGAATGGGCGCACAGCTACACGCGAGATCAGAGGCTTATTGTCCAGCAAAACGTAAGTACATGCGCTTCCCACAAAGACAATGCAAGCACTGTGCTTCCTCGTATGTCGACGGAACCACAAGAACCTGACCTATGTATGGCCCTTCCTTTTTTTTCTCCTATCTTCAGCTCAAGTGCTGTGGATACAAGGACTGGTCAAACCATGGCGCATATGATCTGAGATGCTTCCCCAAGATCAATTTGCCTGGATGTGAGCACAAGTACAACAAATACGAGGAAAATGTATTAACCAACTTTTGGACTATTGCATTCTCGGTTGCACCGCTTCATCTCTTCGTGATGATATCTGCTCTATTGTGCTCAAACCATGTCGATGGCATGCTCCGATCTGCGAGACCGGGTCTAAAGAGCTTTAAGGAGGAGAAGGAAGAGTAATAGACTTGTGATACCAATAGCTCACCGATCAGAATAAAATGGTAGCAACCCCTAGACACCAAAGAACAATTGGCGAGCACAAACAAATGGCTTTTCCTTATTTTTCTCATCAAACACTGTGCAACGTCGTGGGCATTATCAAATGGTCTGTGATGCTTTTATTTTCAATGCTGAGGGTTCTCTAATGTGCTAACCATGCGTAGTGGTGAAGAGTGAGGTGAGGGGGTATAATAGCGGCATGAGAAGCGACATGCTTCTCAACTACGGCTCTTGAAGGCAATTGTTTTCTGGTTCGATATCTAAACCAAGCTGTCAGGGGTGCAAACTTTTTACTTGCGGGTGTTGGGGGTCCAGTAGATGACTTCGTCCTTCAGCAAGTGAGAAACACCGGCGACGACGGTGGCGCTTCCAAGGACGGTGTAGGCGACAGCCTTAAGGGCACGTCCAGAGGACGAGGAGGTGGACGAGGACGAGGACATGGCGCCTTCATGACCCAACGAGACTGCGGCCGCGTTGTTGGTCTTGGATGAGTTGGAGATGGAGCGGCGAGCAGCGGGGGCGGCAGCCTTGGTGATAGCGTTGCGAAGGATAGACATGATGGTTATTTTTGCTATGTTGTTGTTGTGGTGGGTGGTGGTAGAGATTTTTTGTTTTGTTGCTAGGAACGTTCAAGAAGTGAAAAAAACAAAGGTACAGCAGAAGAGGCGAAAAGACAAGACGCTTCCTGTCAGTTTGTTATTGTTTTCTATGAATATCTCCGCTAGCAGTGAAGGTCATAGATAAGGCGAGCAACGCTGAGCAGCTGAGCAGCCATGTATTCTCCTGGAGCAGATACAATAAGCACACACTCCAGGCAAAAAACGTGTCGGGGTGTAGAATGAACGGCCAGAAAGTCATAGAAGCAGAGATAGCGACTGCCTATGACAGAACAACTGGATCATGAAAGTAGTGCTTGGCGGCCGTCTGAGGAGGGATGGCCCCTATTGGCTGACACTACAGCACGACGAGGGCGATCGGCGTGTGTTCAGGCCCCGCCTTATCTCTCGTGGTTGGCCAAACCAGTTTCACCCTTCAGGGGCACTGGTTATTTTGGTGTCGGAGAATGCGTGCGCTCAGCTTATCTTCAAAATCCTAGAGCCTCTGAGCTCAGAAGCGAGGTGATGTGTGCTTGCCTTGAAGCTTTGAGATACGGCAGCACTGAAAGAATAAGGAAGGTCAATACTGAGCAATGCTGATACGGTTGGCAAAAAGACGATCATCAGAGAATCCTGCTCCTTCATACGAACTGGCGCAAAAAGCAAAAGATATCCTGTTCCAGGACGGGTTTGAACCGCCGACCTTTTCGGTGTAAACGAAACACGCTAACCACTACGCTACTGGAACCACTGATGTTAAAAACGGGGAATTATATTCGCTATGTTTCAAGTAACAGTCACATGACATACATGTCAATGCATATATCATGTGATTTACGCCAACGCGCCACCAAAAAAAAGCGAAGGCACAGCCGAAGGATCATGGAGGCACCACTGACAGTTTTGCACAGCAGGCTGTGAGCAGAGTACATGTAGTCTAGAAACGAATGCCAAAGAGAATCAGCAGTGTCCGTCAACCTTGGTCAGGGTCTAAGGCGAATAGTTCACCCGCAGGACAAAGGATTCTATTTCTGTCTGATGATGAGCAAGTGCACGGTTGCCTTGCACCTCCACGAACAGCTCGGGTACCCTTGACAATTGATACGTATCACGTAGCGGACAAAGATGACCCGGCAAGTTTGCCGGGGATGGTGCTCATCTCATCGCACCGGCGCGTAACGGGCTCGAGGACGAAGCATAATGACCATGAAACAGGCACAGAACAAACAAACGGTCCAGGGGCTGCATCGCCGATCGTATATTGCAAATCATACCCTGGCTCCTGAGGAAGATGTTGACAACGTTTCTCTTTCCTTCTTCCCGCTCCTTTCTCTTCCTTTTCTCTTTCAATTTTCTGTGTATTACCCCTGCCCAACATTCCAGAGTTCATTGACATTCCATCCCACCATTTTTTAAAAACAAAGCAATGCGCCCCTCATTCGCTCTTTCAGCAGCAACTGCCCTCTTGGTCTCGTCACTAGTTCATACCTCGCACGCTCAGCAACTCTGCAACGGCTATGCTGAACTGTGCGCAAAGTCATACGACAAGGTCGCCTTTGCTACAACCCACAATGCCTTTGCCTCCTCAGCAGGAGCTCTAGGCGCGAACCAGAACAATGATATCGCCATCCAGCTCAAGGATGGCATCCGCGCATTGATGCTCGATTCGTACAACCCACCCACGGGCAACACCGGCGAGATCCAGCTCTGCCACACTGCCTGTAGGTGAAAACTTCACGCCTCTTGCTGGCGTAGTCTGCTTGTCGCGCCTCCTCTATCTCTGACCCAATGCAACCAAACCTTCCTCTTTCACCTTCTTCCAGGTACTCTTCTCGACGGAGGAACGCTGTCAAAGGCGCTCGAGCAGATCAAGAAGTTCCTGGAAAACAACCCGAACGAAGTCATCACCATCTTTTTTGAGAATGCGGGCAATCTTGCGGCATCGCAATTCCAGGTAGGTGACGGAACAGTAAGCCTACATACACCCTGAGCCGTTTCAGGTTTTTAAATTGCTCGAGTGTTGTTGACGCTTGCCCCGTTCGAATGGTTACACAAACCATACTAGACAGTGTACACGGCCGTAGGCATGGACAAGTATGCGCACACGCAGCCTACCGCCAGCGGAACTTGGCCTACACTTGGAGAGATGATTGCGACTGGCAAGCGTCTTGTATCATTCATCGACTCTGGAGCTGATGCCAACGTCCCTTGGTATGATTTTTTTATTTTTCAACGCATCTTTGCCGCTTCGTGCATCGGTCACACCCATGCTGACATGATGGCCCTCTTGTAGGTTGATGTCGGAGTATGACTATATCTTCGAAACTCCATACTCCATTCCTCGGGACACGCCATACCCTTGCACGGTCGACCGCCCGAAGGACCAGCGAAGACAGGTAAGAGTCATTGTTTACGACGTGGTGTGGTCGACATCAAGTAACCACTTGGCCGGCTACATTGTCGCGTACCATTGGTCTAATACTCCTTTTCAATACCCACACCTTATAGCTCTATGTGCTTAACCACTTCGTCTCCGGGACCCTCAATTTGAATGGACAGGCCATTGATGTTCCGCAGCCAGGTCTCGCCAACGTTACCAACGCGATCGACCTCACCAACCACATCAACAACTGCCAGGGGACCTTTTTGCAAATCCCCAACTTCATCGCCGTGGACTTTTATGAACAAGGAAGCATCCTTCAGGCGACTGCCGCCGTGAATGGGGTCGCCTGGAACGGAAAGGAGCCCACACAGCCCGCTCCCTTCACCAACACTACTTCTGCAGCGTACACGTTTGGCAATGCTAATGCTAGGCTAGCTGGGGTGGTCTCGTCAGTTATAGTATTAGCACATCTCGCATTGTAAAGAGAGAGAGAGAGGAATAGATACAGGGCCGCCACATCATGCAATCATAAATTTGGTCGACCTAGGAAAATATATGCGATGACAAAAGAGAGAGGGACTTTTTTTCAAGGGGGGGTGGGGAGGCGGGCAAGGCGAAAAGCACTTTGTAACAGGGGAGTGCATGTGTGTTTCTTACCCTGAAGGCTGAAATGGCCGTTAATGCGTGGTCCATAGTCTAGACGCGTACCTGAGGGTGTGTAACAATTCCAGCAGGAACTCCAGGAGAAGAGCACGTTCAAAAAAGTTACGTTAGCAACCAGGACCAAACCCCGTTTTTTTTCTTCTTTTCTTTTGTCTATCGTTGTCAGGTCGGTTCTTGTGTTCACGAGCAGAAAACGCACATGAGGCGAACAAAGAAATGAAAGACAGACGGCGGACAAGAATCGGACATGGTTTGCTGTGAGAGGAGCTGCTGAGTGGCAATCGTCTTGATTGACCCTTGGACGATCTGTTGCACATATCAACGTCCTGCAGCAGTCGAGGAGCAAAAAAAAAAAAGAGAGAAAGATTGGCGTGTATTGAAGCACAGCTAAGGCATCAGACCACTCTTCACCTTGGGTCTCAAGTGTGTGGTCAATGCTATTGTCCTAGCCTCATTGTCTCGAAGCATTGCGTAAAGGGGGCGGGCAAAAAGGAGCACTTTCCTTGTTATGTCTCGTTTTGAATATATCGCTGTTTCCAATCATGCCCCCTCCATGCTCACGCCTCTCTCGCCTTGCATCCTATTTTCTGTAACGAGCTTTTCTAGAGAGCACATGCTCCCCTTGGCACATCTTGGGAGGCGCGGCAAGGTGCTTGGCCCGATGCGAGACGAGCAAGGACAGCCTTGTGGTATATATTGACGCCTTTTTTTTGTTCTTTCCTCCTCGCTCCCAACTCTTCACCTCTTTGTTCTTTGACCAACAATCTTTCTGAACGCCCTTCTCTCTTTTCCCTTATCTCAGTTGTCTCCACAGTTTTTTTCTCGCTCTTTCTTTTCTTACGCTCTCTCATCCCTCCTCTGCTTTAAAAGCAGTAACATTATAAGCACAGTACCAGGCATCCATTCAACAGCAAATCGCTTTAGCCACTACAAAATGCTTCTGCAATCGTCAAGCCTGGCCGCCGTCGTCCTCTCAAGCATAGTTCTTGTCGGATATCTCGCGCCTGTCACCGAAGCCCATTCCTGGCTAGAGTGCGTCAACTGGCAGTTCAATAACCCTGATAATGAGGACTGGACCGAAAAGGGTGGTGAATGCCAGGGTTATGCACGTCGATTCCCCTTAGGCCACAAGTTTGCGTCCATGGATTCCAGTCCAGCGCGCCACTACCAGCAAGACAATAAAAACCCAGAGGATGCCCCACCTTGTTCGGATGGCGAGAGTGGTAAGGAGAAAGGGATGGACGAGACTCTAGCAGAACCTCGCGACGCTGCCTATGACCGGAAAAACTGGGGGAAGATGACGGTGACCAAAGTTGGCGATCAGCTGTGTCTTCGCTGGCCTGCCAAAACCCATGGCAATGAAAAATCCATGGTCGTTGTCTCCTTGTCCAAGAACGCGAACGGAAAAGATCCAAACCAAAAATGGTTCAGTTCTAACGTAGTCGCAAAGCTGCCCTACAAGAATTGTTCAGGAAGCGGCAGTAAGGACGCAACGCCTTGTGGCGGCTGCTTCGCGGTACCTGTGCGAGCCTCGGGAGACTACGTGCTCCAATGGCGCTGGGAACTAAACCGTAACGAGTTCTACACGAGTTGCGCTGTAAGTATAGCATTCCCAAACTGATGGCCTACGTGTTTTTCTATGCCCTGTCTGGTCTGAAGCAGTATAACTTACCCAAGTTTTTTATGATTTGTGCCAACAGGACGTTAGAATAGGATCCAAGTAGTCGGCGTTCGGCTTGGAGGGTGGCGAGTTAGATAGAAGTAGCCTGTTAAATAGAAAAGAAGTACTACTTCGCCACCATCACTCGAAAGAAATGAATCCGATCGTCCAGCACACTGTTCCTGAATGCGCACATGTTGTGTCACCAAACATCTTTTCTGCATTTTTACTCTTTGCCTGCTAATCAAAACTCGTCATTCGGTCTCCTGCGGCCGCCCACGCCGCCCTTTGTCATGGCCGCCTCGTGGTTTCTTAGCTCGTTCGGGACGGTGGCGAGGGTTGACTTGGTAAGCATCTGCTTCAGATCATAGTAGACGTCCGTATCGTAGCTCGAGAGGAACGTCACCGCCACTCCCGATTTTCCTGCACGACCTGTACGACCGATACGATGGGTGTAATCCTCAATGTTCTTGGCCATGTCAAAGTTAACAACCAGAGACACGTTCTGAACATCGATACCGCGACCTGCAACATCCGTCGCCACAAGGACATCACTCTTGCCGCTCTTGAGCTGAGACAGCGCCAGTTCACGCTGCTCCTGAGATTTACCTCCGTGCAGCGTTGTAGCACGAAGTCCGGAACTACTGATCATCTTGGCAAGCATATCACAGCTCTTCTTTTGGTTGACAAACACAATGATCGGAGGAGCATACTGGCCCTTGACCAATTCCATGAGTCGGTTCCTATTAAAAACGATTCAACAAAAAAGCGCATTGTCAGTCAATCTTGTCCACACTGTAGGTGATCGTTCGTGCACTCCGTTCAAGTGCCAAACAAAACAGAGGCCATACTTTTTCTTGTTCTCATCCGAGATCATTTCCACGCGCTGCTCGACAGTCTCAACAGCCTGACCAGCAGTACCGATCGTGACCACAGCAGGCCGTCGAAGATATCGCTTGGCCAAACGTTCGACAGCAGGAGGCATGGTGGCGGAGAACATGGTCGTCTGACGGTATTTCTTGCTTGCATCTTCGTCGATTGA